CCCCCCCCTAACCAGCAGTGATTTAATAGTTCAGCTGACCCAGTTTTCCCTCCTAGCAGTGACTTATCAGCTTAGCTGCCCAATTCCCAGCAGCTCAGCTCACCCTGCATTCCCTCCCAGCAGCCACTGAGCCCCCTTTCTTTCAGTGACTAAGCATCTCAGACACCCCTTCCTAACAACGACTCAGCTGCTCAGCATCCTCCTCCCAGCAGTGACAACGCTCACTATACCTCCCCTTCCCAGCAAAGGCTCAGCAGCTAAGCTCACCCTGCCTCCCCTCCCAGCAAAGGCTCAGCAGCTAAGCTCACCCTGCCTCCCCTCCCAGCAAAGGCTCAGCAGCTAAGCTCACCCTGCCTATGTGGCAGTGATAGGAAATCTCTCTAAAAGTGACGGGAGATCCTTACCAAACAGCTGCTAGCAGAACAGTAATACCCACTGGACGGTTTCCCCTCTACACCCGTTGTGGTGGCAACGGCAGAATGTAGCATTTCCCCTCACCTTTTGCTCATGTAACAATAGTCAATATCAATGATCAATCATGAGAATATATGTTCCTGAAGGGCCCACCGACAACAACGAATATCCTGATAGAGTTCTAACTATTATGCAGAATTTAAAAAAAAGTTACGACTGGAGTTCTGCTTCGAGTGGAGAATATGGTCACACAGACCTTTCCTTGATGATCCACATCCATGCGGTTGATTCTCCTACAAACTCCCGCAGGTTGTCGTTGGTGACGATAATTCCTTTTGTTTTCTCTGACAAATGTAAGAGGAATCTAAGAATAGAGGGAAGAAATACCGGTCAGTGAATTGCATCAGTTTTACCATCTAAAACAGGGGTAGGCAAACTCTGGCCCTCCAGCTGTGCTGCGACTACAAATCCCATGAGCCATTGCAAGACTCTGACAGCCACAGGCATGACTCCCAGAGGCAGATGAATGATGAGAATTGTAGTGCCAGCACAGCTGGGAGGCTGGAATTTGCCTAAAATGTTCACTTAAGGGCAAGTACAAGCCCATCTAGAGCAGTGGTTCTCAACCTGTGTAACCTCAGGACCCACATTTGTCCTTGGTCATTAAGTCGCGACCCAAGACGCACTGCAATGGAACGCACGGCATTAGGGTGCTGCGCGTTCCGGTGTGGCCCTAGGAACAGTGTTG